CCAATTTTTGTTTCGAATTAAAAACAAAGAACCCAAGTCTTTTTTTTTTTTTTTAAGTAGGCTCCATGCCTAACATGGAGCCCAACATGGGGTTTGAACTCACGACCCTGAGATCAAGACCTGAGCTAAGATCAAGAGTCGGACACTTAACCGACTGAGCCACCCAGGGGCCCCCCACGTTTTTCAATTAAGATGTAAACATCCTTTTTTATACATTTATATAAATCCATCACTAATTTGAAATTCAAATCTAATTATTAGTCAGAAGAAAGAGGATTAAAGTTATATTTTGATGACCTGTATCTTCTGGATCTGTTGACCTTTTTCCCCTGGAAATGTCACATCCCCTATAACATACAAAATTTATTTTTATCCTGTGAAATCTTTGAAATACCTGCCTAATATTTTGTTTTTTAAGGAAATAGTAAGAAGAAGAGGGGTTTTTATGTCTCTGCAACTTAAGATTTTTCCTTTCCTTTATTTCATTTAGTAATATGTTAGATCTAGGCATGAGTAATCATCTCTTTCCCTTGTTAAATGTATCATGTTTGAAAGAATTTTATGCAACTATTGCAGGTTCATAATTATTATTACATTTACTAAGACCAGTGAATTGGCTTGGGCAAGAGATGACTCCAGAGTTGTTTTGAAAAAAGGCTAATGTTTTCTAATTGGAGGCACCTTTGAGGTAGTGAATCTACACATGAACTGAAAAGTTTGCCACTGGACAAGAAAAATCTGTGATTCTTACGGAGATTGTCTTAGGAGAATCCTGCAAGCATGCTCCTCTCTCCTAGGGGAAGTGTGGGGTGTTGTATGAGAATTTGAAGTACAAAATAAATTTCTCTCCATAAAGATTGCAAACCCAATTCACACTGGACAAGGCTTTATTAATTTATTTAATATATTTTTGTTCTATGGAAAGAGCTGGCCCTTAGTGACTTGGCAATCACAGCAAGCAAGCATAGCAAATAGGCTCCAACCTCTAAGTTTTAAGCTTAAGAGTTGTTTTGAAGGTAAGGACAGAACAGCCAACTCATCTTTGCCATAAAAATCTTATGTGTGTAGGAGACACTTCATAGATAATTTGTTAAATTGAACTAAATAAAGTTTATACTCTCTTTACTGAACATTATAAAGATTGAAAGTTGCTGAAAATGTTGAGCATAAAAACCGAAGTTAGGTGACTTCAGTGCCTGGTGTCCTAATGAAAGAATAACATCAATTTGACTCAGTGTACTCCTCTACCTTTTGGAGTCTTCATATAAAAAGCATCAAAATATTTTTGGATTGAACATGAAGTGATATGAGTCTTTTCTACTAAATGGAATCTGAGCTTGGAAAAGTTAAGGTGATAGTAGTAAAAGATGTGATATATTTGCTTCTAGTCTCTGTTACATAAACACATGTTACACCAACTGTGAATTGATAACAGTTTTTGATTCTTTTTTTTTTTAAAGATTTTATTTATTTATTTGAGAGAGAGAATGAGAGCACGAGAGGGAAGAGGGTCAGAGGGAGAAGCAAACTCCCCGCTGAGCAGGGAGCCCGACGTGGGACCCGATCCCGAGACTCCAGGACCACGACCCGAGCCGAAGGCAGTCGCCCAACCAACTGAGCCACCCAGGCGCCCCAATAGTTTTTGATTCTTAAAATACAAAATTTTTAAATTAATAATAAATTTCCTTATCTGAAGCTATAGAAAAGGATCATCGTCATCCATTTTGAAATTACTTTCCAAAGCACTTAATTTCCAGTTAATAAAAACCAAAGTTCATTCCCTCTCTGTGAGTGCAAATGCTCCCATTTATGTGGTGGGACCCAAAATACTAATGTACGACTTTTGCAACATTCCCTTCTTCCCTCCATCTTCAGCCTCTTCTAAGGAGAGTAGTAAGATCTTTTTTGGATTTTCTGTGCTTTCTTTTGCCGATAAGGATCAGGGTGGAGTGGTAGAAGCTGAGAAAAGAAAAGAGATGGGATGGAGGAATAAGGAGAGAAGAACAGAGGGAGCTGAGGGAGGAAATTTTAGAAAATTTAATGAAGGAACAGAAAAAAGAAACCTAATGTTGGTGAAAATTTTGGGATAATGATTTATAAAGTAGAAATTTGGTAGGGAAAGATATAAAAAATGGATTTTTTTAAGCCATGTGGTTGAAATGAATTCTTCACCACCTCTTCAGAAGAACTTCTGTAAAGACTTTGCTTTTTAAGAATTGAATTTCGATTTGTTTTCCCTTTGAGGGCTAAGATAGGTCTTAGAACTGTAGTTAAAAGGCTGTTAAAAAAAAAAAGGCTGTTTTATTTGGTGATAAAACGATAGATTTTAAAGAGTAATGCAGAGTATTAAAGTATACAAATCTTTTTCTATTATGGCATGCGTAACTTATTTATCAACGGCTATAAGATAACTCAGTGCAAAAGTGCTGTAATTTTTGATTCTTAAGCCAAGAGCTTTGCAATTTCTGATTGCTTTTTTAATGATTTACATACCTAATCTCGCTTCTTGATTGTACATTGTTTTTACATTTTTTTCCCAAATATGCCTTATACTATGGGATAATGAGTTGATTATAGACTGGAAACTGGCCACCCAGGAGATAAAATGAAAATGGTTTCTTCAACTGTCTGATCTACAAAATCCAAAAAGCTCCTCAGTAGTATAGATTAGAAAATTTAAAATAAAGCAGGTACATGAATGTATATGCATATTGAAGTTATCAAAAATCATTACTGAAGGCTGTGATTTATGTAAGTTACTAATTTCTTTCTATAATTAAGTTCTATACTTATGCATATTAAACAGTTTTAATTACTAAATATGTGCACTAGTAAATCTAAAACATTTCATGTGAAATTTCCAAATAAATTTGGCAATTTAACTGTTAATATTCCTGGATCTTATAACATCCTTGGGATCAGGGATCTGTGATTGGTAGGTGATTAAGAAATATATATCCTTAATTTTTTAATGTTTCTGTTTAATTGTGCACAAATATTTCAGCCATGTGTGAACGCAACATTTCTGACCATGATGAAGTTCAAAATCACACGTAAGATTATCATGCTTACAGTTCTGAAAAATATAAATATGATTCTAAAGAAATTTTAAAGAGCATTTGGGGTAAGAGATGAAGGGGAAAGGCAGTTTTATAACACTAGAGGAAGATGTTAGGGAAGAAAAAAAGAAATATAAATTAATCAGATATAGAAAAAGATATCTATACATTTTTAAGAAAAAAATTCTTAACACTGAACTTTAATCTTGCACGTACTGAATGCCCATCTCATAGAAGTTTAAATACTTTATAGAATTTATTTCATCAAAGTATACAGATGTTGCTGACAGAGTCCTATGGAAGACCATAATTATTCTATTCCTTATTTTTCTAAATACTTTTTTGTTGTATTATAAAAATAAATATATGATTAATAAATTTAATCTGTTTTACATTCTGTTCTTATTTAATATATATTTGAAGACAGGTAAGTATGGAAATTTTGTATTTCCTCTACATGTATCCAGGTCTGTGTAAATGTATCAAGCAAACTGCAGACAGTGTATGAGTGATGCATGACCATGCATGTGGTGCCTAGAAATTGCTGCTAGCATTTCTGACACACTTACTTAAAAAGTGATAAATTTCTCACTTTTTTCCTTTTTAGTATACTTTAAGGAATATTTAAAAGACTCGTCCTTCTAGCTCAATACAATTTTTTTTGAAATGAGAACAATTAAGCTGTGATAGACAAAAATCAGGAGATAAATCAGCAAAAGAATGTATGTGGAAGGGTCTAGTCTAATGGGACAATCAACAAATCTTAAAAGAATAAAAGAGAGTCTCCTTTAATAGCAAGACAGCTGCTATTACCAAAAATTTAGGTAGGAACTGGAGAATGTGGGTTGGGCACCTTTATGTCTTGGATCAAAGAAAAACTGATTTATTAAATAATCATCTTTAGACAACCTGCTCTTTTTAAAATCTCTCTTTCTCAACACATCCTCCCTACTCTTCCAAACCCAGCACAAGAGCCATTCTATACTTTCACAGACAACAGCTGATTTTACAATTGAACTTACTCATAAAGCAGCACTGTTTTGATAAATTGACTCAGCTTAATTCACTGAAAAATATATTTGCCTTTTTTTGCAGCCTCTGAGACAATTATGACAACACACTTTAGCTGTGTTCACATTTTTATGTTATTGTGTTATGGGCCCAGGTTGACACACAATTTATATATATATATATATATGCTCATGTGTTAGGTCTGTTCATATCCTCTTTGGAACATGCAGTGGCATACTTGTCTCTTGAAAGGTTTGGAAAACAGCTCAGCATGTTCATGTAACTTATTTTTTAGGAAAAAATATAAAGATTCTTAAACTTGCAAAATGCACCAATATCAGACAGTCAGTTAGATGTGTTTATTTTTTGGGGCACCATATAGCTATCATAAAATTGTGTTTAAATTAAATTAATTACTCTTTTTACATTAAATATAAGGTGATAATCTTAGATCTTTTATTTGAAGCCATTCTACTGAAAATAACTAATTTTCTCAGTGCTTTGATAACTGCTTTTGCAAACTTGTGAAAGTGAACCAAGGGAATAGAGACATGGTTTTTATTTCATGCTTCACTCAATGAAAGCCTTTAGAACACTGGACCCACTCTTGGTCTTTCTGCGGTGATCTTCATAAGGTAGGAGAGAAATATATTATAGTTAGTAAAACTTAGAAGGGAAAAGCCTCTAAACTACCACCTACTATGAAATATGTAGGACACTATAAAGTTAATTTAAAAAAATAGACAAACCCAGACTTAGAAGATTAAAAACACAGTATGTTTCTCCCTCTCCCTCCCTGATAACCCCCTTCTTAGTGCAGTCACACCTGACAAGAATTCACCAAATGACATCATTGGTTATTTCTGCAAATAATTCTAACAACACCAGGCATCAACAGTTAAATAAAGTAACAATATGATCCATAGAGTTGAATATAATTATCTAAAAATATTCATGTCAGTTTGGAAGCTACTTGATCACAAAACATGAAAGAAAGGTCAGCTATTTCTTTTTCATCTACCATCGAACTCTAAATACATCATTAAGGAAGCCGCATGTGGGCAAATTCCTTTGGGTTAAGTTCGTAAACACTTCCCAAATACTGTTGTACAAAGTTACAAATCCATGCTGAGTTATTTACCATTGTGTAGTGATAATCTGCAGTGGGCCGGGGTTTTATTTGCAGGTTATTCAGAGAGGAGCTATGAGGCATAATTTTAAAATCCAGGTTGGAAGCATAAACAAAAGGTGCGTGCCCATAGTCTGAACAGGAGACTGCAGTTTGTGAAGTGATGTTGGAGAATCAGAAGAGAGGGTAGTAGAGAGGATATCTTTCATTTTAGAAATGCTGAGGCACAAAACACAAGTGCTTGTAGTACTTTCATACATGAAATCCTTTCTCCTGTATGTGCATCATGTGTAAACGTAAAGTCTGTATACTGCTGACTATCCGTCTCTGGTGTCCAATGAGTAGGACTCCAATTCTTCTAATATCACTGTGAGAGAGAAAAAGAGAGAGAGTTGAGGGTCGGGGGAAGAGAGACATTTAGATCTGGTAAGTACAGGAGATAGGAAATGAAGATTTACATAAGGTAAGTATGTACCATGTCAGATTTGCTTTATGAATTTAACAAAAATTGTATAGCTGGTAAAATGAGAGTTTAAGCAGAGATATAAGTTAAGCTCAAGACTTTGTTACATTTTTCTTCTCCCTGGTGCCAGATAATGTATCAAGTCTACTTCAAATTTAAGGATACAAAGAAAAATTTCAAATTCAGGTACTAACATAATGTTCAGACATTCCATAGACCTAAAGGGTATACAATTTTTAAAAAGACTTATTTTTTTAGACAGATAGAGAGAGAAAGAGAGAGGAGGGGCAGAGGGAGAGGGAGAGAATCTCAAGCAGTCTCCTCGCTGAGCACAGAGCCTGCCGTGGGGCTCAATCTCACGACGCTGAGATTGTGACCTGAGCCGAAATCAAGAGCTAGGTGCTTAACCAACTGAGCCTCCTAAGTGCCCCAGGTATACAATTTAGATAATGATATAACTTTTCAACAGTATTAGCAAAAAAATATATAGGGTAGATGGTATAATGTGGACCTATGGTCATTCAATAATCTGAAAAAAAATGCCGTTGTATTATGTTGAACTATATGAAATTGCCATCACTATTTCAAAATAATGGGAATTTCATATGATTCAGCCAACTAGTTTTAGTATCTACCTTTTAAGCACATGTTGAACAATTTACTGCACCCAGGCAAGGAATAATTTTTGAGACAATGGAAAAATGCCCAACTTTAATAATATAGAGAAGGAGTTCTGAAATTACATGATGATAATGTACGATTACAATTATTACATTTGATGAAAGTAATAGGAATTGATTATGCAAGATTAGTATATGTGAATCATAAGTAATTTGCCTAGGTAAGCTGTGCTGATGTAAAGTCTAGGATGTGAATGAGAGTAATATGCATTTCAGAAAGCATTAACAAATTTTTAAAATAGCTATTTGAATTAAACATACTCTTCCAAAGGAAAATAGTTAAAAGTGTAATGTCCAACTTCCACTCGAATGATAATCAGAAATGGTGAGGAAAGATGTGGAAATGCCATACTAGCGTTAGGAAATGTAGTTGAATCATGGTGTTCTTGATCCAGTATTTGAATTTGTAACCTCCTGAGTGGACTGCTAAACACCATAATAAACCTAGGACCACTTACTCAATGTTCATTCTTGAAATTAGGTCAAAAGTTGTAAACCCTGCTGCCATGAAGTTATTCTTATATTGCCCCATTTTTATAGAATCCAGCCAGTCACCGACTGTGACAAACAGAGGATATTCCGGAACTTCACCAGGGGATTCTGGCATTCTACAAGAAAAAACCCATGGAAACCATTTAAAAGTTAGATAAAGCAAAAAATACCCAACTTCCTTTTTTTTTCCTTTTACAATATCCTTACCTCTAATGTTTTCATACTCCATTAAAAAAAATCTCTAATTTTTCCATTATATTCAAATCAGCTGCTTTTATCTGCTCAGTTTCACTTATCAGTTTGCCTTTTTCTGCTTTTTGCCACTAACTGGGTTTTATACTAGATGTATCTTGAGAAAACCCACATCTTGCAAACTGCTATTTACTTTTTCCTCTTGCATAAAATTGTGTTTTCAAACCTGAGGAATAGCCCAGTCTTCATCCCCAAAGGATGGTAAGTAGCCACAGGCTCTTTACTCTTAGACTTTCTAACCTGCCACTGAATCCTTACCCTTTTGCTTTTTTTATATTTGCTATGACAGTCCCTTCTCCTTTTCACAGTGAATTCATTGGTCAAGCCTCTATTTATTCTCAAACATTCAACAAGAATTTATTATTTATTAAAAAATAATTTCTGCTGTTACAGACCTCAGTTGCATGAATAAGATTTACATACATCCAAGCCTAGGGTAATACAACAGCCCGAAGCACAGATATTAATATGGCATTAAACAAAGCAAAATCAATGCAAGGTTGGGTTAACAAGAAAAAGGAACCCAGCATTGATGGATCTTAAAGTGAGTGATACAGACATCTGTATTTTTGCTCCTAATATCTAATGCAAAGGGCGTTGCAGTTGGGGATATTTTTTGTAGGTTTTTTTTTGAGAGGGCTAGGGTCGGGGGGAGAGGGGCAGAAGGAAAGAGAGAATCCTAAGCAGGTTCTATGCCCAGCACAGAGCACGATGTGGGTATCGATCTCACAACCCTGAGATCATGACCTGAGCTGAAATCAAGAGCCAGACACTTAGCCAACTGAGCCACCCAGGAGCCCCATATTTTTGTACTTTTAATATAAAAATAATATAAAGGTATTATTTTGGAAAGGCTAGCAGGTGTGTGCATATTCATATACAAATACATACATACATATATGTATGTGTGTATATGTACATATATATACAGAATAGTTTTATGTAAGCTAAAGACAGAATAAATATGGAAGTAACCTTAGAAGTTATAGTAAAATTAACTAAGAATTGTGTATTTAACTGATTCTGGCAATAAATTATATTGTTCTCCTTATAGAGATATATGAAAATTGTTAAAAATATTTTATATGGTTTTACAAAATACCTGGTAGTAAAAGTGCTTTTATAAGCATGTTATTAGCCCTCTGGGATAATAAATACATCATTGAAAAATTATTAGGTTTAGAGTTTATATTAAATAGTAGAGCAGTAACCTTTTTATGTTCAGTATTTGAGTCAAATCTATTTTCTAAGTAATGAAAAATATTCCCATTAGAAATGAATCATTGAATTATTTTTATTAGAATATTGAAGATTAATCCAAATTTCATTTACTTTGTTTTTAATTTTTTATAAAATTAAAGAATGGAAGAATCCATAGAGACTTAACTAGATCCATAGTTTTAACATTCATATTTGGAATACTTCATCATAATAGTATTTACCATTCATATTTGAACTATTTCAGCTTTAACTGGAAACCATTAGTATATGAAAACATATGATGAAACCACATGAAATAAAAATTCCTCCATTATGAAGCAGAATGGAGTATGCATGCTATATAACTCTGGTATTGTTCTGTTAACAATATATGAGAACGGAGTTAGGCTGTAAGGTTAGTGGATAAGGTAAAACATAAAAATCTCTAATAATCAAAATTACCCATAAAAATCCTTTAAATTACCTTTAAATAACCAGGCCCTGGGTCTTTAGAAACACAAAAGTCAGAGACATTCAGCGTGGCCATACAACTTGTACACTGTGCAACTCTTGAAGACTCTGAAAGGGACACCTTGGAATTTTTCAGGACAGAGTCCCCACTAAAGGCCTCAAGTTCATGTCTTTGGTTTTTCTTTGATTGCTACATTGACTTCCCTTTTTCTAAATTGGGGTCTAGTTGAATATGGGGATGAAGGTGAAGAGATATAATGAGGAAAAAATAGTGTTTTTTTTGCTTTTAATATATAATTCAAATTTACATAAATTATATGCATGTATCTTGTGACTACATAGTGGTCCATATCGAGTCTGGTAATCCTTAAGTGTGGCTTGAATCCTTTTTACTAGTACTCAATTCTGTTACTATATTTCCAATTTGGGAGGCTGTTAAAAGCTACATGCTCTGGGGCACCTGGGTGGCTCAGTAGTTAAGCGTCTGCCTTCAGCTCAGGTCATGATCCCAGGGTCCTCGGATCGAGCCCCGCGTCAGGTTCCCTGCTCCACAGGAAGCCTGCTTCTCCCTCTCCCACTCCCCCTGCTTGTGTTCCGTCTCCCGCTGTCTCTCTCTGTCAAATAAATAAATAAATCTTTAAAAAAATAAAAAATAAAATAAAAGCTACATGCTCTTTTCTTGTACAATAAATTGCAATGCTATTTTGATTGTGGGCTGATTCATTCAAATTAATCATCAGAACGATTCGTGATTTGACCCTAACAAAGATTAGTTATGTCCAAAGGTTGAAAACCTATCATAAATACTTTATTATTGCTATATTTGTTGTTTCCTAGGGATGTTCATGTCAATAAGTATTATAAAATAAGCAAAATCTCACATAAAATACAAAATAATAAAGGTATCCACTGCAAACAGAGTTAAATAGGATTCTTAATTAGAGCATTTCTCCCAAGTCTTCACTATTCTAATGTACAATGTGAACATACAAGAGGATTAGCAATAGCTTCTGTGTTATTTTCCTAAATTATCTGAGCAGTTTCTATAAAACAACTCTATGGTCAACTAATCTTCAACAAAGCAGGAAAGAATGTCCAATGGAAAAAAGACAGTCTCTTCAACAAATGGTGTTGGGAAAAT